AGCATACTTTCTACTTTTCAGAATATAGAACATACTCCAAGATTGATCACATTCTTGGGCATAAATTAAGCATGAGCAAATTTCAAAAGATAAAAATAGTACCATGCATCTTCTCAGATCAAAGTGGAATAAAAATAAATATTGCCACCAACAAGATCCTCCAAAACACACAGATATATGTACTCTAAACAACACGCTGTTGAATGGTTTCTGGGTCAACACGAAAATCAAGACAGAAATAAAAATATTCCTGTAAACAAATGAAAACAAAGACACATCTTAACAGAATCTCTGGGATGCCACGGAAGTAGTGTTAAGAGGAAAATTCATAACATTGCATGTACAAATCAAGAAAATGGGAAAAAGCATAAGTAGACTAATGTCACACCTAAAGGAGCTATAAAGCCAAGATCACCTAAATCCTAACTGCAAAAGAATCCAGATCAAGATAAAAATCAGAGTTGTAGGACATAAAAGACAAAAATATCAGAAAGGATCAATAAGACCAAAAGCTGGTTTTTTGAAAGTGTAAATAAAATTGATAGTCCCCTGGTCACACTGAAACAGAGGGAGAGAAAGCCCAGATAAACACAATTAGAAATACAAAAATTTAAGTCACCAGTGACCCTGAAGAAATTCAAAAAATTATCAGAGATTACTATAAAAACCTGTATGCATGTAAACTAGAAAACATAAAGGAAATGGAGCACTTTCTGATATCATATAACCTTCCAAAGTTGAAACAAAAAGAAACTGAAACTCTAAACAGACCAATAACAATCCAGAAAATTGACTAAGTCATAAGAAATCTACCTACCAATAAAAGCCCGACACAATGGCTTTCCAACTGAATTCTACAAGACATATGAGGAGGAGCTGATACCAATCATACTGAAAGTACTCCAGTTAATCAAGAAAGATGGAATGCTCCCCAATCCATTTTATGAAGCCATCATCATATTGATACCCAACCCTGGCAAAGACTCAGCAAGGAAAGAAAATTCAGTCCAATGTCCTTGATGAACATAGATGCCAAAATTCCAAACAAGATTCTAGCAAATTAGATCCAACAACACATCTCAACGATCACCCACCATGACCAAATGGGCTTCATTCCTGGGATGTAGGGCTGGTTCAACATTTGCAAGACCATAAACATAATACTGCACATCAATAGATGTAAAACCAAGAATCACATGATTATATCGTTAGATGCAGAAAAAGCACTTGACAAAATCCAACATCCCTTCTTGATAAAAAAACTTTTGAGCACCTAGACAAAGAAGAAACATTCCTCAAAATGGTAAGAACCATCTATGACAAACCCACAGCCAACATTGTGCTCAATGGGCAGAAATTGGAAGCATTTCCCCTGATAATGTGAAGTAGACAATGATGCACACGCTAACCCCTCCTGTTCAACATAATGTTGGAAGTCCTAGCCAGAGCAGTCAGGCAAGAGAAGGAAATTGGGGTATCCAAAGAGGAAAAGAGGAAGTCAAGCTATTCATCTTTGAAAACAATATGATTTATATCTTGAAAACTCTAGAGAGTCCGTCAAAAGCCTCCTTGCACTGATAATCAATTTGGGTAAAGTCTTACGGTACAAAATTACGGTGCAAAAGGTAGCTGCATTTCTATACACCAGCAACAAGCTGACAGAGTGTCAAATAAAAAGCACAATTCTGTTCAAAATAGCCACACACAAAAATGAAATACTTTGGCATCCACCTAACCAGGTAAGTGAAAGATCACTGCAACAAGAATTACAAAGCTCTGCACAAAGAAGTCAAGGATGACACAAGCAAAGAAAAACATTCCATGCTCATGGATTGGAAAAAGCAATATTGTCAATATGTCCATCCTACTCAAGGCAATCTATAGATTCAATGCAATACCCATCAAATTACCAACATCATTTTTCTCAGACCTAGAAACAACAGTATAGAAATTCATACGGAAACAAACAAACAAAAAAGAGCACAAATAGTCAAAACAATCCTTGCAAAATGAACAAAGCAGGAAGCATTATACGTCCAGACTTTAAACTTTACTACAAAACTATAATAATCAAAACAGCCTGGTATTGGTACAAGGCACATAGGCACATAGACCATGGAACAAGACAGAGATTCTGGAAAAATTCAATCCCTCAACCAACTCTTCTTCAACAAATTCACCAATAACAACATCTGAAGAAAGGAGACCATATTTAGCAAATGGTGCTGGGAAAACTGGCTGATCACATGCAGAAGAAACAGGCCTCCTACCTATCACCATATACAAAAATCAACTTTAAATGGATCAAAGACCTAAACATAAAACTTTAAACCATAAGAATCCTAGAAGAAAACATAAGAAACACCCATATGCACATCAGAGTAGGCAGCACATTCATGATCAAATCCCCAAAAGCAAATGCCATAAAAGCTAATTTGACAAGTGGTACTTCATCAAACTGAAAAGATTTTGCACAGCAAAAGAAACCATCAAGAGAGTGGGGGAGAAAACCCACAGAATGGAGTGCAGCCTCTGTGGAAGACAGTGTGGCAATTCCTAGAGGATCTAAAAGTCAACCTTCCATATGACTCCACAATCCCCCTACTGGGAACATACCCAGAAGAACCCAAATCACTGTATAAAAAAGATACCTGCACACATATGTTTATCACAGCATTGGACACAGTAGCAAGAACATGGAACCCACAGTGTTGCACCTCAAAAGATAACTGGATAAAAAAAATTTGGTACATATACATGATGGAATATTATGCAGCCATAAAGAAGGACAAAATCATGAACTTCACAGCAACGTGGATGGATTTAGAGTCTATAATACTGAGTGATGTATCATAGAACAAAGAACTGAGTATCACATGTCCTCACTCATAAGCGGACCTTGAACAATTATCGTAATAGTATAAGAAAAGGATTGGCAGTAGCAGGAAACTGGGGTGGGGGGCGGGACTGGCAGTAGTGGGAATCTACCAGGGGAGGGGGGCACACCTCATCAACAAGGGAACCTGCATAATGAACATTTTTATACCTAACCTTGAATTGTACCCCACATCTTCAAAATAAAAAAATTAAAAGAAAAAAAAAGTGGGCAACGGACATGAATAGACACTTTTCAAAAGATGATATATAAGCAATCAACAGATAAACGAAAAAATTATCAGTCCCACCAATCATCAGAGAAGTGCAAATCAAAACCATAATGAAATTCCAGTAAGGAAAGCCATCATTAATAAATCAAAAAACAACAAATGCTGGCACAGGTGTGGAGAAAAGGGAACGATTCTAAACTGTTGATGGAAGTGCAAGATAGTTCAACCTCTATGGAGAGCAATGTGAAGATTCCTAAAAGAACTAAATCTTGACCTTCGGTAAGATCCAGTAATCTGTCTCCTGGGAATATACCTGGAGGAACATAAATCGTTCTACCAAAAACACACCTGCACACGCATGTTTATTTCAGCAATATGCACAATAGCAAAAACATGGAGCCAACCCTACTGCCCATCAAAAGTGGACTGGATAAAGAAAATGTGGTACACAAACATGATGGAGTATTACGCAGCCATAAAGAAGAACAAAATTGGGGGCTTTGCAACAAATGGGATGGAGTTGGATCATACTTAGTGATCACAGAAACAAAGAACTGAATATCGCATGTTCTCATTCATAGGTGGGACCTGGACATTAATCACATTAGTACAAGAGAGGGGTCAACAGTCGCTGGACACTGCCTGGGAAGGGAGTGAGGGGCACGTAACAACACAGAGAGTACCTGGTCCTAAACCAGGGGAAGGGAAGACCAGTTGGAGGCCTAAACTTCACCTGCATGCAGCCCACCTGTGTAGCTAATCCTGACTTGTACTCCCACATTTCTATAACAATAATAAAAAAGAAAGCGAGGCAGAGACTCAGAAACTCAGGGAGTCACAGGAAGAGCATAGAGTCACACGGTGTAAAAAACCTAGGCAGTCCAGAGCAGGCGCGTCCACACCTGCGTTTGCCCTCACACTGAAGATTGTCAGCGGAGCCGACCTCTCCTGGCCGCGGAAGCCCTTCGGTGGCAGTTCCTAGTGCCATCCGAATAAGATCCAATGCGGCCGCTGTGCCTCTCTAAACTCCTACGGACCATTCAGGGGGCGGGTCCCAGCTGCTGGGCCGTGGCACCCCTCCCCCTTCCAGGCAGCCAATAGAGGCGCGCAGACTCCAAAGGCCACGCCCACTTGTCGATCCCGCTTTAATCCGCACGATTCAGCCCACAGACCCTGCCTATGCGAGTGGCGTCAGCCGGGGCTTGTTGCAGGGCTGGACACATCCTAATCAGCCTGAGCTTTGCCTTCGCAACCCCACTGCCTGGCGTCACGAGGATGTCCGTGCCTCTCGCTTCCCTTTTTCCAGAGGCCGCCGATGGGCTGAATACGAATACTTCCTACTTCCGAGGGACTTGTCTCTTTCTTTAGGATCCGAGATCTATAGGCGGACCGGACTGAGCGCAACACATTGATTGGAAGTAGCGACTGCCCGTCAAGTATATACTCCTCTCTATTCCACCGCGCGCCTGCCTTTCTTGGTGGATAAGGGAGGGTGAAGTTTCCACAGCTCTGAGGGAGCGAGTTCGTTTGTCCACATAGGCATCTATTAGAATTTAGACTGCAAACGTCCTAAGTAAAGAGAGGAACAGGCTCAAGTTTATTGGGTCTAGGGAGATGTCAATCAAGGGATGGGCGGGTGCAAATATAATACGACGCACAGTACTAGTTGAGGTACGACGGGGACAAGGTGGGAGAGGAGGAGGAGGACTGCCGGGGTGTTGGCTTCTGCTGATTGGGCCAGAACAGACGGTCCCACCCTCTCTGCTCCGGGACTGGCTAGCACGAATCGCTCCCTCCTCACGCCAACAATCATCCGTAGAAGTGGGCCTCGCTCGCCCCTGTTAGCAGCTGTAGCCAGATCCGTGGAAGAGGGCAGAGAGGGCTCACTGAGTTCACAACCAGATCCGACGTAGACCCGGGAGTGGCACGCAACATCTCAACTGTGAGGGAACACCCGTAGGCGGCGGGAGAGGGGCGCCGCGGGGAGCGAATAGAGCCCAGCAACCGGAAGTGTCCTCTGGGAGGTGTCGCACCCGGAAGTGTGGCAAATCTCCAGCCGCACCCGGAAGTGTGATGCTGCCGCCGCTCCCGGGAATTAATGGTATCCGGCCAATTGAGATACGGGGTTAAAACAGGTGTTTATGTATCTTTATTTCCTAAGGCCCGATAGAGTCTTCTTTTTCGGAAAGTGTTGCAGGGTGCAAGTGTTTGGTCATGTTTTTGAATGTCTGATCTTGTTAAAATCCGTGGGGAAACAAGCAGTAGGAGTGTGTCCAAGGAGGCCTGACTCTATGAAGAAGTTTAATTTACTGCCCATCACCCTCGATTCCCCTCCCCCCAGGGGATGTGCAGATGGAGGTCGGAGGAGACACTGCTGCCCCAGCCCCCGGGGGCGCGGAGGACTTGGAGGACACGCGGTTCCCCACTGAGAAAATTGGAGACGGTGGAGGGGTTCACGCGGGCACGCCGGATCCCGGAGACGGGCGCCTGGAGGAAACAGGTATGCCCTTCTCTTACTGAAATCTTAAAAGGAATCCCTAGAGATTTTCATTATTGATCCGGAGAGTAAGGGGTGCCAATGGGAGACCTATAAGGAGTCTTTGGGACTCAGGGAAGTAGCTTAGATTATAGCCAGGTTAGTGGGAGGTTATCGTGGACTCAGTGTTGTAGTTCAAATGACTGATGAATAAAAAGGAAGTCATTGGGGGTCAATGGATTGTTCACTGGGGATTTGGAATGAGTTTAGATCATTGAGTAATTGAAAAGGGGTCTGTTGAGGTCGAAGAGGGTCATTGGGAATTTAGGGTGTTTAGGTTAACGAATGTTCTAAGGAAAGTTAATAGAGTCAAAGGGGGACTATTTATAAGTCAGTGTTTTGGGGACTAGGGTGTTATTTAAGGCACTGAAGTGGAAAAGGGGATCAGTGGTATTTAGTAGACAGAGTATTTACATCATTGAAGAGTCAGTGGTGGGATGGTGGAGGGAGTTTTTAAGAAACCAAATGTTAGTGGATGTTAATGGTGATCAGTGGCGTGTGGGTATAACCGAGATTATTTGAAGAGTCAGGGGATCAGAAGGAGTCTTTGAAGACCCAGGTGATAGTGGATGTGTAAAATTGTTCATTGGGGTATCAGTGGAAGTCACTGAGAAATCAGTGCTCGTTGATCACTTTGGAATTGGTGGATGTTAATGGAGTCATTGGGAAGGATCAGTGGACATCACAGAATAAACGGGGAGAGTCATTAAAGATGTGGGAATTAGTGGCAGGTAAGAGCAGTTATTGGGAGGGGGTAATTGAGATTTGTGGACATGAAAGTATCAGTGAATATCAATGAGAGTATGAGATTGTGCAGTCATTGGAACTTTATGGGAAAATTATTGAGACATCGTTTCAAACAGTTAATAAAAGCTGCCATCGGGAGATGAGTGAACATCAACAAGAATAAATGAATATCAGTGAGGCCATTGATGCTGTAGTTTTAGTGACTGTTAACAATAACCATGGGACAGGCAATGGAAGTCATCAAAGTCTTGTGGTTAATGGATGTTATGGTGGTTATTGTGGAGGGGAGTGGATATCAATGAGAATAAAGGGAGTTGAGGGAGTCAGTGGAGGCCACTGAAGCCCTGGGGTATGAGTAGAGGTTAATGATGTTCAGTGGGGGGGAAGGGGAGGTGGGCATGGAGTAGAATAAATTGTGATTAGGGCAGCCATTGAGGAGCATTGAAGACCCAGGTGTTAGTGAGGTTAATGTGGGACCATTGGGGGCTTTTGTGAACCACACTGGGAGTAAATAGGGGGTTAGAGGAGTCCTGAAGATCTGGGTGCCAGTGAATATTAATGACAGTCATTGGGAAAATTATCAAGAATATAAATGGTTGAACAGAAAAGTCAATGAGGGATAAGGGGAGTCACTGAGAATAAGTAACAAGTTAGGGTAGTTGCAGGGGAGGACATTCAAATCTTCAGATATTAGATATGAATGGTGGTCATTTGAAGGGTGAGTAGGTATTGGGAGAATAAATAGGGGTCAGAGGAGTTCATGGGGCATCATTGAGGATGTTAATAGGAGGCAACAGAGTGCTTTGGAAACTTGGGAATGGCATTTATTAAAAGAAGAACAGTTGGTCTGTAGGGACATAGAAGGTCTAATGGAATAACAGTTAGAGTGTATTGGGTTATCGGGGGTTTAAGGGAGCATTGAAACCTGGGTGTTAGTGGACACCATTGGAGGATCCTAGGGAAGTCATTAGTAGATAGGGGAAACACTTGAAAGTCTATGTTACCTGAAGAAATTGTGGGGACTTGGTAGAGATTTGGTGGGTCTTTGGGGACATGGGGTTAATAGGGAGTTCACAGGCAGATGACTCCCCAAGGGCTTCCTTTCAGGATCCAAGGACAAGGACCAGCCGCCCAGCCTGTCACCATTGCCCCAGTCAGAGGCCTCATCAAGCACCTCTCAGCCCTGGGATCCTGCAACCTGTGAGAGTAGTCCCATGGGTAGTCCAGAGAGTAGCTCTGGGGGCCAAGGCGGGGACCCCAGTGATGAGGACTGGCGCAGTCAGCGGAAGCATGTGTTTGTGCTGAGCGAAGCTGGCAAGCCCATCTACTCACGGTACGGTAGTGTGGAGGCACTGTCAGCCACCATGGGTGTGATGACAGCCCTGGTGTCCTTTGTGCAGAGTGCAGGAGATGCCATCCGTGCCATCTATGCTGGTAAGCAAACAAGAGGGAGGCAGAGTGGGAGATGGTGATGGGGAATATGGCTGGCTGGCTGGCTGGAGATCTCTCTAACCAGCTGTGGGTAGGTCTGCCTGCCTGAGGTAGTGTGCAGCCAGCCAAGGGTGAGTCTGTGTGTGGATGGTCAGCTAGGGGTCTGTCTGTCGGGGGTTCATCTCTCTGTCTGGCCTGCTAGGTTCTGAGTGACTGAGGTGCTGGAATCTAAGTGACTAGCTGAATAGAATACTTCCTGGTTGCCTGAAAGCATGACTGCGGGGGCTGTGTGACTGGTTGGGAGTCTTTCTGTATCAGTCCTTGCTCCATCTCTCCCCCCACACTCCCCTGTTCTTTGCTGTGTCCAACCTACCTGATCCCTTGACTGTCCCATCATGTCTCTACAAATGTCCAAGCTCCCCCAGCTTGTTCTTCTCCCAGTCCAGCAGCCCACAGAGTATCGGTGGGCTCAGCCCAGGTGTGTGCTTGTTGAGGGGAGGGCGGAAGAGCCCCGCCTGTTCACCTCCAGCCACTCCTGATCCATCTATACTCCCACATCCCTCCCCTTCCCTCCCCCAGAGGACCACAAGCTGGTGTTCCTACAGCAGGGCCCTCTGCTGCTGGTGGCGGTGTCCCGGACTCCTCAGTCAGCAGCCCAGCTGCGCGGGGAGCTACTAGCTGTGCACGCACAGATTGTGAGCACGTTGACTCGTGCCAGCGTGGCCCGCATCTTCGCACACAAGCAAAACTATGACCTCCGCCGCCTGCTGGCCGGCTCAGAGCGTACGCTGGACCGACTTTTAGACAGTGTGGAGCAGGACCCGGGTGCCCTGCTCCTGGGCGCGGTGCGCTGCGTGCCCCTCGCCCGCCCGCTACGCGAAGCACTGGGTGCGCTGCTCCGACGCTGCACGGCACCGGGCCTGGCACTGTCGGTGCTGTCGGTTGGCGGTCGACTGGTAACAGCCGCCCAGGAGCGGAATGTGCTGGCTGAGTGCCGGCTGGATCCGGCAGACTTGCAACTGCTGCTCGACTGGGTGGGTGCACCGGCTTTTGCGGCAGGCGAGGCATGGGCACCTGTGTGCCTGCCCCGCTTCAACCCCGATGGTTTTTTCTATGCCTACGTGGCCCGTCTGGATGCCATGCCTGTCTGTCTGCTGCTGCTTGGCACTCAACGGGAAGCCTTCCATGCCATGGCCGCCTGCCGGCGACTGGTCGAAGATGGGATGCGTGCCCTTGGTGCCCTGCGTGCCCTTGGGGAGGCTGCCAGCTTCTCTAATGCCTCCTCAGCCAATGCTCCTGCCTACAGCGTGCAAGCTGTGGGAGCACCCGGCCTCCGGCACTTCCTCTATAAGCCACTGGACATCCCTGACCACCACCGCCAGTTGCCCCAGTTCACCAGGTAGGCTCTGACTCTATGGGCAACTGACTGGGTGGGAAGGCTTATCTGTCTAACCCGGAAGTTCAGCGTCTCACAGACATGGCTCAGATGAGCCAGCCAGCCGTGTTCTGGAAAGAGGGAACAGAACAAGTCTCTCATGGAGGCAGAACCACAAACCTAAAGGCATTCCCCATTCTAGTGGAGAGGTGAACCTCAGTTCTCAGGGAATCCCATAGTTTGATGGAAAAAGCTGGGCCTGCAACCACTGAGAATTTTCAAGTCAAATGTGAGAAGCCCATCTTCCTAATTTAATGAAAGTCCCTACACTGAGGGAGGAGATGGGCTAGCCAAGAAGGCCCTGGACTCACCTTGCCCTCCATCTTCCTCCATTATGGCAGCCCCGAGCTAGAAGCCCCATACAGCAGAGAAGAGGAACGGCAGCGGCTGTCAGACCTGTACCATCGCCTGCATGCTCGCCTCCACAGCACCTCCCGACCCCTGCGCCTCATTTACCATGTGGCTGAGAAGGAGACGCTGCTGGCCTGGGTGAGTCGGGCAGGGCTCTGAGTGAATTAATTCCCCACTTCAAGCCTCTTTTCCCTCCACTGTATCCCCTCCAGCCATGGCGCCTCCATCAAGTACATCCGGCCTCTGCCTGGGCTATGCCTTGCCTCCTACACTGTCTCGAACACACGCTTCTTTGAAACCCATAACAACGAATCCCAGTGTCTACAACCCTACATCAGTCTCCTCATTCTGTTTGTTTTTCCCCCATTAGCCATCAGGACAGTGTCTTTGACTTTCAAGAGGTCCCTAAACAACCACCAGTGCCTGCTGATTCCCCAGTAGCCCCTCCCATGTATCTGGAGTGCCTCTATTAGCTACCAGATCATTTTGAATCCATGAGTCCTCCACACTCCTCTAATGCTATAGGCTTGGTCCTACGCTGCACCCTCTACCTGTAGTCTTTTTCTTTGGGGTCTCCTCTGGGCTCCAGTCCTCGCTTCCTATGGGTTTGTCAAAGGTCAGCTATTCTGGAGACCAGTGAAGGTACCCTCATTGAAAATGGCACCTCCCCCCAGGCTCTGCCACGTGGCACACATTTACTAAATAATTTATTGTATGTCTGTTGTGTATCAGGCATTGTTCTAGGCTGAGGAATTTATTTATTTATTTATTTTAACTTTCATTTTTTTCAAGTAATTTTAGACTTAGAAAGAACTTGCAAAAATAGTATAAAGAGTTATTAGAAAGAGGCCCTCCTTCACTTAGTTTCTCCAAATGTTAACATTTTATATAACCACAGTAACTTATTAAATTTAGGAAATTAACATTGTTACAATAACATCTAATCCACAGACTTCATTCAGATTCCACCAGTTGGCCCACTCCTGTCCTTTTACTTGTCCAGAATCCAGTCTGAGAGCCCATGATGGATTTATTGTGTCTTCCTAGTCTTGTTTATTCTGGAATAGCTCCTCATTCAAATTTTGTGTCTCTCATGAACTTGACACTATTATAGAGCTTCAGCCAGTTAGCTTGAAGAATGTCCTTCAACTTGTATTTTTCTAATGTCATATCATGAATAAACCGAGGCCATGCAATTTTGGCAAGAATACCACAGAAGTGGCATTGTGCCCTTTCCTGTGTCGTATCAGGAGGCATGTGGTGTCAGTCTGTCCTATCGATGTCAACTTTGATCACTTGGTTAAGGTGGTGTGCACCATATTTTTCCAGTATAAAGTCAATATTTACTCCTTTGGAGTTAATAAATATCTCTGGTGATAATGTCAGTGTCCTGTTTTTTAATCATACTTTTTACCTACTGATTTGTCAGATAGTGATTTTTCTAACTTCATTTTTTTCTACATTTATTGGTTGGGATTCTACTATAAGAAATAACTTTTCCTTCTCTTATTTATTTGTTGAATTTTTAACTTTATTGAATATGGTCTCATGGAGTTTTCTTTAATCCAGTGGGCTAAAATCCTTTTCCAGCATTCATTTTGGTGCTCCAGTTGTCTCTGATTTAGCTAGTGGGAGCCCTGATTTAGCCAGGCTGCTCCCTGTGTCTTTCTGACAAGTCCTCCTCACTGTGTGAGCACATCTTACCTGACTTTCTGTGCACCAAGCCTAGACTCAGTCATTTTTTCAAGGAGTCCTTACACCTTTTAGTGGAGATTGGTATTTAAAAACCAAGATATGGTAGACCCAGGATTTGAAGCCATATGGTCAGGGGAGACCTCCCTGAGGCGATGGCATCTGAGTGTAGAGGGGAAGTATTGGGCCAGGTGAGCATCTGGAGGAAGAGCACACCTGGCAGAAGGAAAGGACTACAAATGTTGTGAGGTGGGACTGAGCTTGGCTTTGTTTGAGGAACAGCACACACACACACAAATAGCTACAGTGGTTGGAACAGAGAGAGTAAAGGGGAGAGCAGAGGGAGGTGGCACAGGAAAGGCGTGGTGACCTGGAGGAGTCAGGTCTCTCAGGTTCGTGTGAAGATTAAATTGAGTCCCTTTTTATATTGTGCCCAAGCTGTAGATGATGAAAACATAGGTGTATGGAGCTTACAATCCAATAATTATTCATTGACTATTAAACATTGTTGTTACTGTTATCCCCAGTCTACAGATGAGCAAACTCTGAGGTCCAGAGAGCATCCACACAGACATAGCCAGCATCATCCAGCTGAAGCCACTAGGTCCAGCTGACCCCTACGCCCAACTGAGAACCCCTAGCCCACTCATGACACAATAATAACAGCTTACCTGCCTTAACCCAGTGTCCAGACAGCATCAGGTGGGAGTTGCTGCCAGGTACATCTTCCAAGCTTCAGGAGGTAGACATGGGCTGGGATGGGGTAGACAAGATTGTCCTTGCCCAACTCTGGCCCATCTGAATCTGTCTCTTCCCAAATCCCTAGGTGACCTCCAAATTCGAGCTCTATACCTGCCTCAGCCCCCTGGTGACCAAGGCGGGTGCCATCTTGGTAGTGACCAAACTGCTGCGCTGGGTGAGGAAAGAGGAGGACCGGCTCTTCATTCGTTACCCACCCAAGTACTCCACACCACCAGCCACCTCTACGGACCAAGCTCCCCATAATGGCTTGTTCACTGCACTCTGAGAGGCAGAGCTCCCAGACAAGGCAGTGCTGGGAGCAAAAACCTTGGTTTTTACCTTCTGTCTCCATTCTGGAAATGTGGGTGGGGGTGTGTCTGTGACTGGTCATTGTCTCCCTGGACAATGGGGCAAGATCTGAGGGCCTGCCGATAGAAGAGAGATGGGTGGCAGCAGTCAGGTAAACAAGCTGCTTTCCCAGCCCAGTCATGCACTTCAGCCTCTGGGGAAATCCTTGTGCCTCTGTCTGCCTTCCCTCTGCCTCACCTCCTCCATTTGGATGATATTCCAGCCTCTGTAAGGGGTTGTCCCCTCCAAATTTGTTTCAGGGATCTGCCTTCTCAATGGACTCTCAGCCCTGAGTGTCCAGGACTGGACAAGGTCTCTGGGCTTCTGGAATTGGGGATATGAGGCCAGCCTGTATCAGGAACCAGCCTGAAAGTATTTTAAAGACAAAAGTGCACATAAAAGGCCTAAAACCAAGCCCCACGAGGATATTCCTTTGCCCTTCTTGTACTTTTCATCTTTACCCTGCCAAAAATGGCCTCCGTCAATGCTGGCTGCTGTTAATATTAATGAGAAGGTGGTCTCCAGTGTCCACTTATTTAACCCAGGGCACCTGACTTCTCACAGCGGCTATGTAGGAGGTGCACTTAATTTCTGAGGCTCATTTTACTCACCTGTAATATAGAGATAACTAGCCCTCCCTCATAAACTTTAATGAAGATTTGTATATGAAAAGGGACTTTGAACTCCTGAATACTACTACATGCACATTTGTCCCAGGCTTTGACAGCCTGCATAACACAAGCAACCTGAAGCGAGCCAGACCCCACCCCCTGCTAGGGTTTTATATGTTTGTGCACAACCTCACTCCCCAACTAGTCAATACCCTAGCTCTGCCCTTGTTTAAGTTGGAGTTGCAGCCTCGTGGTTGTACGCATGTGCGGTGTCAATCAGTGGCATAGGGTGTTCTGCGCCTTCGCGAAAGAGACCAGTCTGATACACCTAACGGCGCAGATGTAGGCTGCACGCATGCGCACTGCAGACCCTTTCACCCTCACGTGGTTTTTTTAAACCAATCATCGTTGGAAAATGGCAGGGAAGTTGGAGCTTCTGCAAGTGCAGTCAGAAGAAGCGGTGGAGGAGGCCGAAGGTAGTGAGGGCAAGCGGTCTGCACTTCTTTCCCGAACAGGGCAGAAAGAAAGATCTGTCTCATTACAATAATGAAATTATATTAGCAATAGTTTTTTTTTCTTAAGTAAAATTTTAAGCTGTTTGATATTCAAGAAGACAAACCTTTTAACTGTTCAGCAAAGATAAATAATATACACATTCTCGTCACCTAGATTAGCTCTTGTCAGCTTTATAGAATATATTGTTTATTTTAAAGTAAACAACGCTTTGTTCAGTATGCATCTCTTCAAACTAGTGGAGGGGAGTGTTCTCAAAAAAATCACCCTGCTGCAGCCGCTCCTAAGAAAATTAACAGTAATTCCCTAATATTATTCCACCCCCAGCCCATATCACATTTGCATGAACCCTTAATTGAAAGTGATCTTCCCCACTGACAACTTTTCTCTTGTATTGACGGGAAGGGTAGTGGGGAAGATTCGGTCAAAAGACTTAGAAATTGCAGTCCAGCCATAAGAAAAAAAATCCCCCAAAGTAATAATCCACTAGCATGCCACTGGCATTTTTTGTTATAGAGTTGTTCAAAGTGTACCAAAGTAGAAAAAATAGCATAATGAACACCCATGCACCCATCAGTTTTCAGCTTTCAACAGTTTTCAACTTTCTGTCCTCTTTTTAACTACGTTTTCTGTACACTCTTTAAACTGCCATATTAGTACACAGAATTGCATCCTACCAGAGCTACCCATACGACATCAAAATAATGATTATTGTTTATTGTCCTAGGATGTGAGCTCCACAAGAACAGAGATCTTTCCCTGCACCTAATGTAATGCCTACTTGGCCTAAAGTATAGGTGCTCAGTTGTGTTTTTTTTTTTTTTTTCAATGTATGAATGATGAAATAACAGAGCTCTCTTAGATTAGAGCCACATGTTTAGTGCCAGCGTTCCACAAAGGACAGAAATAAGACAGATGCAAACAGATCCTGTTTATTAAGCATGTAATATAGCTGCCACTATGATTTTTTTCTAAAGTTTAGTGTAACCCTTTCAAATTCCTCAAAATTGAAGTTATTAACTTCACCAGCAAAGAAGAAAATTGAAAAATGTATCAAGTTACCGTTTCTAACTCATCAAATTGGTTTTATATAGGGAGGGATATCATCTGGTATTGATGACTGGAGATAACAGGCCTTCTCTTACCTCGCTAGGAGGGGAACTGACCAGTAAAGGCTTTGCTAGAGGCAGTTTGGTAGAGTATGTTTCTAAAATGCTGTCCCATATCTTCAGTCACCATGCTAGGTAACCCTATGAGAATACATAGATGCATAGACCATGAATGATCATTGGAGTGTTGATGGAAGCAAACTACAAGGAACAATCACAGAAATGACTAAATCTAGGTCTATCTATGCACACTATGGAATGCCTGTGCTACGGGTTTTTTTTTTTTTTCTTTTAAAAGGGCAGAAAAAAATTCTAATTTAAATTTAAATTGTAAATGGATAAGAGCATTATTTATTGACACAGAATAAACTTCAAAAGAGATCACGTTTTGATTAGAGAAAAACCTATTTGAATTGAAATGAAAAAGAAGCAGGGTATAGCTTGTGTGTGTTACACAGAAAAATGTCTGAAGGCTAAAGGCCCAACTGATAACTCTGGACAGAGGACTTGAATTTGAGGAGTGGTGCAGAGGTGGAGGTATCTTTTTTGATTTGTTGTTTTATTTTTCTTTTAGAAAAGTTAATTGTATATCATTTTAAAATATAAGGGGGAAAGTTGAATGGGATCTGAAGGTCCTATATTAATATTGAGTCAATATTAATATCCAGATGTTGATAGTTATACTCTGGTTACCTGGTGGATTCCCTTTGTGTACAGGAAATAGACACTGGAATATAGTAAGGAGTAATGGGACAAGTTGTCTGAAACTTATGGTTCAGAACCACTTGCAAATGGAGAATCTGACACAAGAGTAAATGGAGGCGCTGTGGCATATTTCTACAACTTTTGTGTACATCTGAAATTACTTCAAAATAAAATGTTTAAAAGGGTGCTCGTACTCTACAGGCTGTTTTATTTTATAACACAGAATTTTGAAAATTTTTATCAAGATGTTAGTTAGATTATTTGTAAGATTGACTTATCACCCACTCTTGGCCTTATTTAATGACTAGCACTAGAAAGCAGTGGAGAGGAAAAACCCAGATGGAGCTTTTGCAAAAATGGTTCCTAAAGCCAGCTGTGAAAGACACATGGGACAATTAGGGAAAACCACACATGGTCTGGGTATTGGATGTAGTATGTGATGAGTATTAATCTTGTCTAGTGTGATTATAGGATTGGGGTCATCTAAGAAAATATCCTTAAGTATTTGAGACTCTTAATGAAGTATCTGGAAATAAAATGTCAAGAAGCCTGGGCCTTGCTTGAAAATACTTCAACACAGGCAAAACATAGCTGAAACAAATATGGATGAATGTTAATGATTGTAAGATCTGGGCAATGAGTACATCAGAGGTCATTATAGTATCTTCTCTAATTTGTGTATTTGAAAATGTTCATAATAAAATATTTTTTTAAAAAATCACAAACACTTCCCCTTACGGTTATTAAAGTAGCTTTAATTTTTTTATGTTTAGCTATTAAGAATATTTTAAAAATTAAAAAATTTCAAGAGGACATACACCAACCTATTAAAGGCGATTATATCTGGAAAAGACAAGTGAGATTTAGGACCAAGGAGAAAAGGGGAAATTTTGTTTTTAACTTCACATATTTCTGTAGTGTTTGAATTTTTTCAGAATTTTACTTGGGTAAGAAAGTAAAAGTAAAGGAGTACATGAAACACATTTTACTAAAGGTCCAAGCATCATCACTAAACTGTAGGCAATAGTTGCTTCAGGGAAGAAGAGTAACTTAAAGAAGTGGCTTTTGGTGAAAAGAGACAGTTACTTTTTATTTTTGTTCTTATATTTGTCCTATTATGAAAGTTCTACATCTGCAAATTATGTCATAAATTATAAGTAATTAAAAATCAAAATGCAAAGTTAAACTAATGCATACAAATTTATAAAATATTTCAGGCCAGACAAAAAGATGCAAAGAAAACGAACATTCCACCCAAACATTTCAACAAAATTTAATAAGCTCAGGTTAAAAAACCCTGATTTACCACATGATTTTTAATGACTGCATCCTACAGACATGCTGAAATTAACTAGTCCCCTAAAGTATCTTCAAGTTACTTCCATATTTTAAAATTATAACCAATGAAACAATGACCATTTTGCCCATCATTTAAAATTATTATTATTATTTTTAATCAGTATTTTTATTATGGTTTTGTGGGGTACAGTTAAGGGTTAGGTGTACAAGTACGTTTCATTCAGGCACCCTGTTGATAAGAGGTGTTTCCCCATCCCCAGACCGATATTTGCTACTGTTAATCCCATCTCCCTTCCCCCCCCCCATAGTTTCCCAGTACCATCAGTCATTTTCTTATAGTATTACATTGGATGTTCAAGGTCCATTATATGAGTGAGAGAACATGTGATACTCGGATCTTTGTTTCTGTGAGAGGTCACTCAATATTATAGACTCTAGTTCCATCCAGGTTGCTGAGAAATTCTAAAATTATTTTTTAAGAGGCATTTCTAGGAGTGGAAATTCTGAGCAAGAGGAGATGAGTACGGTTTTGATATTTCTTACCAGAATGTTTGAAATAAAACCTTTTTTGCCAATATGATAAAAATGATTGAAAACATATTTGGCTGGTAAAAGTATGAAGAAGTGTTCTTTTGTGAACCCAAAGCAGATGAAAGGCAATTTCCTAATATCAGTCAAATTTTATAATATATACACTCTTTTATCCAGCAGGTAGCCTCTAGGTAGTATTCCAGGTGTTCCCAGTAGATACACTCTAGTGCAAGCACAGAGAAGGATGTGCAAAGATCATGTACTAGGTTGAATTGTGTACCCCCAATATTTATGCCTGGAATGTGACTTTATTTGGAAATAGGTTCTTTACAGATATAATTAGTTAAGATTTAGTTATACTAAATTAGGGTTGGTCCAATTCAATGGCTGGTGTCTTATAAGAAGGGGAAAGTGGAAATACAGAGATACAGAGAGATAATGACACGTGAAGACACAAACACAGAGAAAAGACTCGGTTTGTGACATTTTTGTTCTGGTAGCCTGAGAAAACAAATGATCATTTTGGCATCATTTGTAACTGCAAAATAAGGAAACAACCTAGATATCCATCAGTAGGATGCTGCTCTTAAATTATGGTTTATCCATACAGCAGAACACTATGCAGCCACACACACACACACAATTATCAGTATATATTATCAAATGAAGAATATAAGATGTAAAGCATAATGTATGCCATGCTATCACCTACATAGGAAAATGGTGTGTATGTTTGTATGTGAACTGAATTATCTCCAAGTATCCACAAATAGCTTGAAAAACTAGTGGCCTCGGAAGAGGGGAAATGAGGTCTGAGAAAAGAGACTTTTCACTGTATACTATTGTAGGTAAGCATTTCTTCATTCACTTCTTTATTGTCATATGTGTTTCTTGAGCTGACTTTCATCTTGTCTGACTAATTTTCCTTGGAGAGAAGTGTATTACTGAATTTAACCTTTTATCATTGATTTCAAGTGTTTAAGATGTTTTTAAGATGTTAGTTTTCTGTGAATTTTTTGTTGTCACTTGAATTTTCAAGGTAACACAGGCTCATGTTAAAATGTATATAGAAGTCTATGTGATAAAAAGTGTGTTTGAAACATTGTGCAAATAAGGTCTATTCATTACAATTGGATGCATTGATTGTATGCCCCAAGTCCTTTTAATTTATGGAGTTTTCCCTTGCCTTCATTTTTTTCTTTGCAGTTTATTTGTTGAAGAAACCAAGTTTTTCTGTAGCATCCCATAGCCTGCATGTTTTTGTCACATTCCTGATGGTGTCACTTAATATGTTTATCTGCTCTTTGTATTTAGTATTTCGATATAGAAGTTTTATGACATTCCACTTAAAAATTTTTTTAAATCACTGCCTTTCTAAAGGATACATTTTTGGGGTTTTTTATAGATTTGGGGAGCAAAAATCCTTCCTAGACAGCACTGTGTTCTTCCAGCAAGAATACTGTCCAGATTTTTAAAATATTTTAGCAGCTGTTAATAACCATTGTCTAGAAATATCAATTCATTAAGAATTGTAAATTATGGGCTATAATTATTTTAAAGAAATTCATATGAAATTGCCCTGCTTTACTGCATTGGTTAGAACTTCCTAAGGATCTTGAACAGCAAAAGTGCATCCCTTTCTCTCACCCCTGAGTTTCTTTAAGGGGATGTCTGTGGTGCCTTTTGGCCCCTCAGGGAGGAGCTGACCCTTACAGGTCCTGATTCATCCAGCACACAAATAAACCTCAGGGACAAGGAACAGAGGTCCTACAGGAGCCCTGCACTGGCTGGAAACCTGTCTCTCAGCTCATCCTCAGCCCCAGCCCAGAGGTATCTGCAGAGCCCAATGGACTTTCTTCCTCTTTTCACAACCCCATCTCACTCTCACTGAGCCCTGTATTTCTGGTTTTATCTCCACAGATCAGACTGAGTCTTTGAAGAAGACTGAAGATTTGCTTTCAATGGTGATAAAGCTGCAGAAAGGTCATGTATCTCCCTGCGTTTGAGCCTCGGCCTGGGGTTTCAAGTCAGACAGATGTGTTTCAAATCCAGCCCCTTCACCTCATAGCCTTGGGAAATCATCCCATTGCATTTTCTCTCTCTTATACAATTTAAATAAAAAATACAGTCCACAGTTCCAAATTCAAGAAAGTTAAGGAAATGGAAAAGCCTACCTCTTACACACACACACACACACACACACACACACACACACACACACCAGTCATGCATTTCCCAGACTCACAGGCAGGCAGCAACTGTTTTTAAATTCTTATGTTTCTTTCCAGAGATTTTTTTTTTAAAGAAGTGCATTCATGGAAATGTATTCTTTGACCTCCGTTTTTATATGTAAATGCCAAATGGCAATGCAGACACCTTTGCACCTGCTTTGCTTGTTGAGGGAGATCAGGAAACGAACTTACACCCAGTACCTACAGTTTGTCTGGGGCAGTGCTGATGAGGTTTGAGGTTAGACCCCCAACCCATTCTCAGCTTAAAATGCTATTTTTCAGTGGTTCCCAACCTTTTTGGCATCAGAGACCAGTTTCAGGGAAGACAATTTTTCCATGGATTAGGGGTGGGGAGATGGTTTCACGATAATTCACTTTATTTCTATTATTATTACATTGTAATGTATAATGAAACGGTTATACAATTCACCATAAAAGAGAGTCATGGGCAGAAGTGGTAAATAAAATAATGGGCAGGCAACACATGGATTAAAATAAGTGTTGGATTCTGACTTATAGCCTGCCACCAGTTGTAGCTGTATAATCGAAGAACATCAACTCACTTGCCACTCACTGACAGAGTTTTGCTATGAATCTTCAAGCAATTGATTTATTACAGTCTCTGTACAGTCAAACCTCACTGCTAGCATCACCACCTAAGCTCCACCTCAGATCATCAGACATTAGATTCTCATAAGGAGCACACAACCTAGATCCCTCACATGCACAGTTCACAATAGGGTTCACACTTATTTGAGAATCTAGTGCCACTGCTGATCTTACAGGAGTTGGAGCTCAGGCAGTAACGCAAGCAATGGGGAGCGGCTGTAAATATAGATAAAGCTTTGCTCACTCACCCACTGCTCACCTCCTGCTGTGCAGCCTGGTTCCTAGCAGACCACAGACTGGTACTGTGACCTGGTACTGTCCATGACTTGGGGGTTGGAGACCCCTGCTATAATTGTTCTGTTCCAAACAAAAGGTAACCTCCCCTTCCCCCACTCTGTGCCCCCTTGCAGAAGATGTGTCTTGGGACTGCTACCTAGGCTTAAATTAAGTCAAGAAATTTCAGCACTGGAAATGTATAGTGACCCACCCTGACTATCTCCAGTAATACAAAGACCCTCGGATTTCTAGCAGTCATAATCAGCACCATGGAGAGTGCCCATTCTTCTGGAAGTCACAAAAACTGGAGTTGGTGACCTTTGCATATGCCATTAATTTATTCACCCAACCATCCATCTGGACATCTGTCCATCCTTCTAGCAATCCTTCCTATATTTCTCCATCCAGTCATCATCCTTCCGTTCATCATCTCTCTAATCAGCTGTCATTTCTTCAGACTCATCCACTCAGTTAACTGTTCGTTCAACTGTCTATCCAACCATCTCTCCATCCTCTAAATCTTTATTGGAAAATCCAGGGCCTGAGCTTATTAGCCTGAGTGTCTGAGGGGATGGCAGTGAGACCCAGCAAGGGTTGGGCAGCTTTTTGCCCCAACTCTGTGTTCCCAACCTTGAAGCCAGAAAGGGATGAAGAGGAAGACTTCTCTGTGCAGAGACCTGAAATAGGGACTGTGAGAAGTTAGAGATGACTCCCGAAAGGAACAGTGATCACACGGTCACTGGGGAACCTGCAAGTTGTCGCCCGCAATAAGAAAGCAGTGTTTCCCCCATTTTTCAGTTGAGGCCAAGATCAGAATCCAGATTGGCAGAATTGACAATCTACCACGCCTAGCTTTTGACATAATAGAGCAGACAGCAGGTCTTCATTGGCTCCCACCACAGTCAGAATTACATCTGGATGCCTCTACTGTGTTCCAAGAGGCCCTGAGTGACCTCACATCCCATCCCCACCCCCCACCTCCTGTTGCTCTCCACTTGCCCACTAGACTGGAGCCATACCAGTCTTTCACTGTTAACTTTGGACACATGCCTCACCCACTCCCACTGCAGGGGATTTGCACTTGTTCCCTCTGCCTGGAATGGCTTCCTGCTTCACACTCTCCACCCCCACAGAACTGTAGGGCCTGCTTCTCTCTCCTGATCTGGGACCTTTCCATAGTCAAGAAGCACCTATTCTTTCCATTTTCTTCATGTGTGTTCCTAGGGGGGGAATAAAGAAGAAGCACCTTTTACCCTTTTGCCCTTAATACCTTGCCCCACTTTGTTTCTTTTCACAACAGTTACTGCCACCTGAATTGAATCATATATCTTTGTTCAATTACCATCTCCCCACCCAGAATACAAGCCCTGCAAGGGCCTCTGACAAAGCCTAACACACAGCAGGTGCTCAATATATGCCTGTTGACTGAAAGCAGCAGACACAGTGCTGGCATCCACCCCTCCTCCATCTGCCTTGGACAGCCAAGCATCTGTCTTCTCTGGCTCAATCTTTTTTTTCTTCAGAGGGAAGCCTGGAGCCACAGACTGAGGACCTGATTAACCGGATTTACAAGCTTCAACAAGGTAAACTTGGGGACCTAGACTGGTCAGCTGGGGCCAGCAGGAAAGGCCTGAACTTTGACTGCCTTTCATTCCCTCATTTATAGAACCCAGGCCCCTCCATGGTTGTTTAAAGATGAGTGTGGGGGCAGGTGGGGAAGATTTTTTTAAAAAGAGTGTGCAATATCGCAGTTGCAAGAGAACAGCAAGTCTAGAGACTGCACTCACACCATGTCTTCTTTTCTCAGCAAAGAAGAAATCCAGTGAGGAACTGGAAGAGACCCAAGCTCTCTGGGAGGCCCTGAATAGGGAATTAGACTCTGGTAAGTGGGCAAAAAGAGGGACCCAGAGATCCCGCAACCACTGCTGATGTTTCTGCACCTTGACATGTGCTGTTCCTTTGCCTGCAATGCTCTTAACACACATAATCTGGATTGCCTCTGCTTTCCCATGCCATCTTTCAGCTCTCAGCTCAAACTTTACCCTGACAGGCCTTCCTTGATGGTCCCAATCTAAAAATAGAATCCCACCCTCTCTTTGTCACATTCTCCTCTACTTGATTTGTTTCTTCACTTCTACCTGACAATGTGTGTTTATTTACTTATGATTATCTCTCCTCTCAGTAAACCTTATACAATCTTCAGGGTCTTCCTCTGCATGGCACTTACAGGGCACAGAGGGGGAAAAGTTGGATCTGGATAGTCCCTCATGGGAAATGGGTGCAGGGGTGGCAAGTGATACCTTACCTCTCCTGGGGCTGTACTTCTGTGTGACTTTGCCCCTGGCCCGAAGTTGCAAAGGGGACATGGGATATGGACCCCGGGGGCTGAAATGTCATTGTGTTTTCCAGTGAATGGGGAGAAAGTGCACCTAGAGGAGGTCCTGAGCAAAAAGCAAGGTATTTACCAGTTGCTGTGTCTTCCTGGCTCTATCCCACCACCTCACACAAGTCCACACTCCCCAGAGCAGCCAGAGAAATCCCACTGGAACCTGAGCCAGGGTGCTTCCCCCTCTGCTCAAATCTCTCTTTTGGTTGCACTTCATTTTGAAATAAACATCCACATCCTCTCAGTGTCCTCCAGTGCCTGACGTGATGTAGGACCCCTTGCCTCTGTCCAACCCTGAGTCTCCAAGAGCTCTCACAGGGTCTCTTCGTTTCCTTCCCCACAGAGGCACTGAGGATTCTCCAGCTGCACTGTCAAGAGAAGGAGAGTGAGACCCAGAAGTGAGAGGCCCTGCCCCAGCTCCTCCCTATCTTACCGCCCAACCTGAAGAAGGAGGGAGCAAGAGCTAGGGACATGTGGGGACCACAATCCCCATTTAATCTTTCTATAAGATAGAGCAGAGACAAAATACTTCTCTAAACATCTTTGATATTAGGTGGTGGTGTTAAGATTAACTCACATGTTTAATCATCAATTGCTAATTTCTTTACCAAATATATTCCATCCACTGGCATTATTCGCAGTCTTTCCCTTGGCCATGCAGATCCTTTGCTGCCCACTCATTTATCTGTCTGCTCATTTCAGGCCCCCTGTCATTGGTTTACCCATTCATTCCTCCACCTCATCCAGCTACTCATCCATTCATTCATCTGTTCATACACTATCCAACTATCCAACCATGTTATCCAGCCAGCCATCATATCTCCAACCTTTCATCTTATCGTCTTTCATTCATCCACTTATGCATGCACATCCTCTCTCCATTCTCCCAGTAATCTATGCATCTAGCCACTCATTTCTTCACCCAACCATCCATCCAGACATCTACCCATCCTTCCAGAAATCCTTCCTTTATTTTTCCATCCAAACAACAATGCCTCCACTCATTTCTTTAACCAACTGTCATCTCTCCAGTCAGTCACCCACCCATCCAGTTAACTGTTCATCCAACCATGTATATGTCCATCTTTCCATCCTCTGAATCTTGATTAGCACACTTTTGTGACTGGAGGTCTCACCCTCCTGGTGCACCATCACTTTAACTGTGTGAGGATAACCTGATGATAGATAGTTGATGTGTGTGTAAAATTAACCACTCTACACACACTGATGATGTTCATTAATGTACCCAATTCTCACTATGACAGTTATAGAAGTGAAGGGTTAATGTCACCCTCTCACCACTACCACCATTTTACATATAAGGAAACTGAGGCTCTGAGAGGTTAAGTAACTTGTTCAGTGTCACAGCGAACAAGTGAAATCAAGCCATGACTTTAGAATCTATGGTGTTAAACTACTGCATTGCCTGCACAGCTTTCTTGGTAAGGCATGGCTCCATGAGGACAGGATGGATGGTGTGATATTCTCAACAGAGGCTCATGAAGGTTCACATTCAACAGGAGAAAGGAGAACAGATGTGAACAGATGTCCTGCTGGAGGGAGCAGGGGGTCATTCAAAGAATATGGCTGAGGGTGGTTGTTGCCTTCCCACAAATCACATGTTACGCGAGTACATGGAACAAATGTTTGTCCACAACTCTCAGATCACAGAAGGTCCCACACAAAGGAAGCTGGGATAACTCCCAAGCCTGGAGCCTGGTGAGCCACTGAGTGGAGGGTGGAAGTGGAGCTTGCATCAGGGAGTTTGTTGGAAAGAAGAGCCATTCTAATCAAGGCTTGGAGGATAAAACCCTTGAAGGGGCCCCCCACAGAGGGAGCACAGGGCAAAGATTTGAAGGCCTGTGCACGAGCATCCCCAGATGGCACTGGGCTGAGTGTCCATCCTAGCCTGTGGTCTTCCATCCCTGTGTGTTGGCCCCCAGGTTGCATGTCAAGGAACAGATGGAGGATCTGATGGGTCAGCACAAGGACCTCTGGGAATTCCACGTGAGTCACTGTCACTGCCTCCAACCAAAGCCACCCGCCTTGGTTTCAGCATCTCTGCTGACTGGCCCAGTGTCCACCCCTGCCCAAGCCCAGTGCTGTGGAATAGCCCTTGATTCCTCTCTTCCTCTTGCCTATCTATTAGTTTACCTCAAATCTGCCCATTTCTCACCATCCCCCACTGTCACCCCAGCATGGCTTGCCCAGAGGGCTGCAGCAACCATGGCTGATCCTGCTTCCCTCCTGCCCACCTCAAGTGTGTTCATCTTGCAGTGGCAAATGGGTACCCTGAGAAAGCTATGGTCAGGTCACTCCTTCGTTCAACGAATGTCAGCGGGGGCATCAAGCAGCCCTGGAGGCAGGGAGAGAGTGGCAGGCCTTAGGGGCCCAGTCATTGGTGCTATAAGCTGGTTGCGGACAGAGGAGGCCAGACCCAAACCCTAGCCAAGTAAATACGTGACCAGATTATGTAATGCTCGTGGGAAGGCCTCTGAGCAGGTGACATGTGAACGTGGATGTGGAGGAAGTGAGGGAAGAAGCCAAGTGTTCTTGGCGAAAGAAAGGCCAATGTAAAGGCCCTGAAGCCTTATGCCCTGAACGTTTAAAGAGCGGCACGTGGCCGGGCTCGGTGGCTCAGCCTGTAATCCCGTGCCTTTGGGAGGCTGAGATGAGTGAATTGCCTGAGCCCGCGGGTTCAAGACCCGCCTGGGCAGCGAGACCTCATCTCTACAATAAATCAAAAAAATCAGCCGGGTGTGGCAGCGAATGCCTGTAATTCCGGCTACTCGGAAGGCTGAGGCGGAAGGATCGCTGGAGCCCAGAAGGTCGAGGCTGCGGTGGCCAAGAGCGGCCACTGCACTCCAGTCTGGGCGACAGAGTGAGACTCCAACTCAAAAATAAAAAAGAGCAGCACGTGGAGTGGGGGAGGAGGAGAGTGGGAGGAGATGAAGGCTGCGAGGTACACGGGGCACGGAGGGCGACTAGGGAACATGGGTCTCCATCACAGCAGAAATCGTACGTTGAGTTGAATGAATGAATGACCCAATGTAGGTAAGGACTTGGAGAGAAACTCAGAGGGGGCGGGACTGGCGGTGTAGTCTGGAGGACACACACACCGAGAGGTAGGTCTCCTCTGCCCTCGCAGATGCTGGAGCAGCGACTGGCCCGAGAGATCCGCGCCCTGGAGAGGAGCAAGGAGCAGCTGCTCACTGAGCGTGAGACCCCTGCGGGGCGGGCGGTGGGGGGCTACCCGCCTGAGCCGCGGCCGCGCCGCTGACACCCCGCCCACCTGCCCACCCGTAGGGGAGCAGGTGCGCACCCGGCTGCGGGAGGTGGAGGGGCGGCTGCGCTCGCCGCCGGAGGTCGAGAGCGTCCAGGCAATGAATGACGGGTAAGGCGGGGGGGGTCAAGAAGGAGGGGACTGACCCGTGTCCCCCCAGCTCCGCCCCCACTGTCCTCCCCCGCCCCACCTCTGCTTCTCCGCGTCATCGCTGTGTCTCAGTGGCTTTCTCCCGTCCCCCTGGACTCCCGCTCTCTTCTCCCTCCTCTCTCCCCTTCTCCTTCTCCGCAGGCTCAAGGAGGAGCTGGAGAAACTCGGGGAGCCGGTCCAGAGGGCGCCCGAGGCCGTGGCCGGCCAAGAGGCGGTCGGGAGCCCGGGAAACCGAGGCGAGGCGGGCGGAGACAGAGGCAAGAGGCAGAGCGGGCGGGAGTCCTCAGAGGTGTCCCTGGGGAAGGGCCTTTGGGGGGCGGGGTGTCCCGGGGTCGCCTGCCGCCAGCGTGGGCCGGCGTGGGTGGACGCGAGGGCGCCCGCGAGCCCGCCCCGAGGCCTTAATCCCTGCTCGTGGCAGATCGGCCTTGAGCTTCCCCCCGCTGGTGACAAGGAGGACCTGGAGCCTAGACCCGTAGGATAGCCCGTCCTGACCTGCCCTCAAGGCCTGCCGAGAAATAAAGGCGATGATTTCTGACCGTCCTCCTTCTCCTCGGCTGAGTCGATGCTCGGGTGTCACTGGGAGTGGGAGGTCGGACCCAACGGTGGAGTGGGGGGCTTTAGGGCTTTCTGGGTGGGGCCTCGGCCAGGCTCCGCTCACCAGCCCAGGTGCAACTCACTGAATAAAAGGGTGCCAAGGCCCCCGTACAATACGGCAGAGCCACTCCACCTCCATGGCCTGCTCTCCATTCCTGAACCACCTATTTTATCAACAAGGGATAGAGGGAAGGTGGTAAAAATTCTGTCAGGTCCTCCTTGTGTGTCTCGGGTGGACTGGGGAAACCGGTTCCCAAAGTCTCTGCACTACCCATAGACTCCCACTGGCTCTGACCTGCGGGCTCACCTCACTTGTTGAGTTCTAGCCTACAGCTGCCTTTCCACCCTTCTCAAACACTCACACACTCCAAACTTGTGTCCTCTTGGTGCCTTTGCCCTGCTGTGTCCTCTTCTGGGCTACACATCCCCCAGCTCTCCTCATGACTTTTGCCCTCACCTAAGGTCTGTTAAATATGTCAGTTTCTCAGGAGACTGGCCTTGGGGACCCAACTCCAAAGAGCAGCTTGCACCAGGCTGCTGCCATTTGCTGAGAATGTATTGATTAACAAGCATTTGCTGATTGCCGTGTCCCATGCACTGTTGCAGGACCTGGATTTTAAATAGCACTTTCAGGGAAGGTCTCACTGAGGAACTAGTGTCTGAGTGGGGAGTAGAGGTGGAGAAGTGAGGGAGTGAGCCCGTGGGTATCTGGGGAAAGGGGTGCCTGAAAGAAGGCAGGCCTCATGCAAAGGACATGAAGTGAGGTTGCACTTAGCTGTGTATGAGGAGAGGTCTGGAGGAGGCCAGCATGGTGGAGCACAGTGAGGTGGAGAGCAAAGGAGACCACACCGGAGAGTTTCCAGGACTAGATGAGTTGGGCCTTATCTAATGCGTGTAGTGTTCTGGAACCAGGACCTGGCACACACATGGCAAATGCTCAGTAAATGTTAGCTATCATATACTCTTGTGATGAGTCATTATTAATCCCAGCTCATAGGCGAAGGCAACTGAGACATATGAATCACTTAGAATACGGGTTTATATCTATTAAGTGACCAATAAATAGTTCATATTATTTATTGTTATCATTCCCAGGTTACAGATTAGGAAAGCCAAGTTGTGTATATCTCTCAGATTATATGGTAAACGCTCAATAAATGGTACCTATCATTTATTGTTCTCATTACTATTCCTGTTGATCCAAATTTAGAGTTGAGGAAAATTAAGGCAGCAAGTCTGTACAGTAAGATGTCAATAAATGTTGTGGTTCACAGTTGTTGCTATCATCCCAGATCCACAGATGAGGCCCAGGAAGCTTGAGTCCCTGGACCATGGCTTATACCTAGGCACAGCTGACTCCAGGCTCAGCCTCTGATCGCCCCCTGTCTCCTACCCCCAACCTCATCCCCCACCGTCCTGACACTCCTTCCCTGCTTTAGGCTAGTTTCCAGGAGTTTCTGAGGAATTTTAGCTTCTTCATCATCACCCCTCTGTATCACACAAATGAGGACAACCTGGATATTCTGCTGATTTTTCACTTTCCACCTAGGATTCAAATTCCAGCTTCCCTGTACACTGACTGGGTGACCTCAGGAAAATTGCTTAATGCCTCCAAAACTCAATGACCAAATTTGCAAAACACTGATACCAACTACGTAGAACTTATTATAAGCCTGGTCAACTCCTCCTTCCTTCTGGGAACCTCCTTTGGGCTCTTGGACAAGCTAAATTGCCCCTCACGTGGATGTAGGACAGTACATGGAAATGACTGGTACATGAGGTTGTCTCAGACCACCCAAACTGCTAAAGCCACTTCCCTGCAGAATGTTTTCATTTCAGTAAATGCCCTGGTCTGCTTGCAAGATTATTCATGACCAGTTCAACACTTTCTTTTCTTTTCTTTTCTTTTTTTTGGAGCTGGAGCCTCACTCTGTCACCCAGACTAGAGTGCAGTGGCCGCTCCCGGCAACCGCAGCCTTGACCTGCTGGGCTCCGGCGATCCTTCCGCCTCAGCCTTCCAAGTAACTGGAGTTACAGGCTGATTTTTTGATTTATTGTAGAGATGAGGTCTTGCTGCCCAGGCGGGTCTCGAACCCGCGGGCTCAGGCAATTTATTCATCTCAGCCTCCCAAAGGCGCGGGATTACAGGCTGAGCCACCAAGCCCGGCTAACACTTTCTTTTCTTCCTCATCTGTCTCTGCCTCTGCACATTCCCACCAAGAGGTCTGGTAACACCTAACTACTGTTTCCCATAACATTGCTTTTACTCATGCCATTCCCTCTGATTGCAACACTCTTCTCAGCTTTGCCTGAGTAAGTATTACTTGAATACAATCCAGACCTGGAGGATAAGACATACAAGCTACTCCACAGACATTTTTGTATTGTGTTACCAATGATGTCATTTCACTAGTATTTATAGAAGGGTGCTATGTATTGAGATTCATTATCTTCAAAAAATATCACTGATATGTCTTACCCATGAAACCTATAGCCAGTCCTTAGTAGGGCCAGTCTCCTTAGGTGAGTCCTACCCCATGCTACCGTGGATACATTTAAAACAGTTAGTTTGGGGACAATTTGAACTTTCTTAAGTAGTGACAATAGTGAGGGAGGCCAGGGACTTGTCTAGATGGGGGATACTAAAAAGACAAAATAGCCGAGTAGTGTATTGAATTAAAACAAAGAAGGTACTCATAAAGATAAAATAAAATAAAAACAGAAAAAGGAACAAACTCTTCTTTGCAGATGAATAGCAGCTAGTAAATGAGGAATAAAATACAGAATTTAAAGATTGCCATTTTGTAATCCACAATGAAGTAATTGATTCAGACATGAGTGGTTAATGGATGCTAACACCAGTGGGGAAAGGCTATTGAGGAAGAGAGTAATCACATATTTTTAAAGTTTTATCCTACGGTATATTTATTAACTCTCAAAGGGGATGTACTTTTACAATGGGGAAATGAGGGAGCTACCACCTGATCCAAGGGCCAAGTTTAGCATTACCAGTATTGGGAGAGTTTGGTCTATGTTCCTCTTTATGTGTTGAATGGCAGGTACATATCACCCATGAGGGGTTCTTGATGAAAATATTGAAATTCCTTCAAGAGGCAAAAGACACAGTAAGAAGTTCCATAAGATAATTGCCCTGAACACCTGAAAGGAGTCAGTGTCATGAAGAATAAAGGAAGCTGATATATTAGTTTCCTATTGCTTCTGTGACAAGTTACCACAACCTTTATGGCTAAACAGAACCTTCCAGTTCTGGAGAGCAGAAACCTCACTGGAGTAAAATCAAGGTGTAATCAGAGCTGTGATGGTCATGGAAAGAAACTATCCTGTGCCTCTTCTAGCTTCTTGAGGCTGCCTAGAATCCTTAACTCACATTAATCTTTGCTTTCACGAGCATCTTCTCTGACTCTGACTCTCCTGCTTCCCGTTGATAAGGATGCTTGTGATTATAATAGACCCACCCAAATAATCCAGGGTAATTTCTCATCTCATGGTCTTTAACTAAATCATACCTGCAGAGTCCCTGTAATCATGTAGAGTCACATATTCACAGTTCTTTGCACTAGGATACAAAAATCTTTGGGGACTGTTGTTCTGCCTGCCACACGGGGAACTCTTCTTGATTTGAAGAGGTCAAAATTTAAAAAACCACCGGCAATTCATGAACTTTTACTAGAACCTAAAACTAGGTTAGGGCAAAACAGCTATAAAAATATGTGGGGAATGTTGAGGAAATTTAAGAATGAACAGAAATTTGAAGGCTGTTGTTGAAATAATGCTGATTTTTGATGAGTGGTAGTGATGTGGTTGATTGGAGAATGTTCTTGATTTGAGGAGATGAAGACTAAAATAGGTTTTAAGTTTCATGATGTCTGCCACCTATTTTTAGATGGTTTGACAGAGGGGATATGTGTACGTGTGTTCTACAGAGAAAAGGATGAAGTGGATGTGGTGAGATGTCAATAGATGGTGAATCCAGGTGTTCCTTATATGGTTCATTTTCATAGAATACAAAGTTTTAAAAATTAAATGAAAACTAAAAATGATAATAAGTGATAGATTGAGGCCCATTCCCTATAGTCCCTTCCTATCCCTCTGACCTCTCAGTAAGATGTCTCTGAGACAGCAGACTTTACATTTTATATGGGCACATATAACCTGACTTGAGAATCTACTTCCATATACGTCTTCATTCAAACTCTTTTTCCACAACTAAATTTTCTGGTTTATGATGTCCTTCTTAGGTCTTGTCCCGCCTCTGAATTTCTTTACCGATGTTTAGTTCCTTGGAAGTCAGAAGTGTACCTTAGGCTCTTGCATAAGGCCTCTTTATCTCCAGTTGCATTGCTGATTAGGAGATGTTGTTGATCTCTTTTTGGCCAGAGATTTCTGAAACTGTAAAGGAGAGTGAAACTTTCCTGGTCTGTAGGAGCTCCCACAGAGAAACGACTCTGCTCTTACTCTCATGGCCTTTCCTGGCCTTACCAAATCCACATTCTTTGGCTTTCAATTTGCCCTGTGTTCTTCTGACTCAACGGACCTTCCTGGCTGGGCTGCTTTTCTTTTCATTGAAATAAGCAATGGCTGCATGGGATGTCTTCACTCACTTCCTCCAACAGTGTTTCTTCCTCTTCCCAACCACATCCTCTGTCCACAGGGCTTGCATTCAGTTCCCATAATTTGTTCTCAGAACTTTTCTTTTTTGCTTGTCTTTCAGGCTCAGATGTGAACGGGCCTGGGGGAACTCAGTGTTGCCAAAAGGTTGAAGGGCATTCTTGAAAGAATTGAACCAGAAGGAAGTTAACCGAAACAAACAAACAAACAAACAAAACAAACAGGAGAGGAGCCAGAAGAAGAGCCCAAGGAGATGCAAATACAGCACCACCTGAGCAGCACACTGGACAAGGCACAGAAAAAAGAGTGGCAGGTGA